AGCTTTGCTGAGCAAAATGCATCGCTCAGTTCGCAGCAGCGTAAGCTGCTTAAAAATTACTAGCACAAAATAGGATCAAATTTGCCTGCCAGAAAGCAGAGAGAGGTGTTTCCCTAGGCCTTGCGCTCAGTGTTTCCTTGCCAGTCTGCATATTTGCCACACAGGTATTAGTCAGATGCATAATCTGTATTACCAATGTGCTGCACTGGCCCCAGGGACCGGGGGAGCTGCAATGTTTACGCAAGTACAGTAGCTTATTTCATAAGTCATGTGTCTGCACAGCTGACATCCAGAGAGTTTTAAGCCTCTAAGTGAAGTGTTAATAGCTAAATCCATCAGTGCTTTAGAAAATTAAAAATTGCTGTAAAGTGAATAATGATGCAAGGGTAGACCTGGAGCTGGGCGCCAAACTGATGGCAAATTTATCAATAGCATCAATTTGCAGAAGCAGCCTGGGCCTTTCAGGGAAGGTGGCTTTGTTTTTCCCTGGATGAGACAAGAAGAGCAAACGAAGGGGTCTGTTTTGCTATCTTCTTTCCCCCACCGCCATCCTCCAGTCCCAGCAGGTAAATAAATGCCTGTAAATGCCTGGGTGACCCTGCAGGCAGCTCCTTACAATAACCCTGCTTGCAAGCTAGCGGGCAGACCTACAACCACAGCACCTTCCCTGCAGAGGGGGACTTTTGGGTGGCAGGAGGCTACGGTAACAACCGTCACACTCCTTCCTCCCTTCTCTGATCAGCACGGCAGGGTGTAGCCGGTCCCCCATGCCCCAGTGATTTGAGGTTATTCTCATCACCAGAGGAGTGCAAAGCAGCTACACTTGAGAACCTCTGAAAGTCTGGGTTAAAAAAGAAAAAACAAAAACCAACCAAAAAACTCCTTAAAAAAAAAAAAGAGAGAGAGAGAGAGAGAGAGAGAGAGAGAGACTGCAATGAGTTAAAGCAGCACGGGATTACGTTTTAGAAACACCAACCCACTGAAGTCAGCACCCTTCTTCCCTCCAGCACAATTTGCTAAGAGGGCAGGAATCGACACAAGTCTCAGGTTCACCAAAGGACTCAGGCTTCTGACTTCCCCGTGACTTCAGTGGGAAAGCAGACGCCTAAAGAGATAATAGTGGCCTAAATGGGTTTGCTGAACCTGTGCCAAAGCATCTTTGCATCCAGCCTTCAGAATTTAAATATGCCTGTTTTTTTTTTTTTTTTCCCTTACCAGACACACATTGCATTGCTTTGAAAAGCAAGTGGCTCTTGCATGTTGCAGAAATGCTCATCTTGAAGGCAGCACACACATTTCCAACCCCGAGATTCCGGGGAGGCACGAGGACCTTGCCCGCCTGCAGGACCGGCAGGGGCTGGGGTCACCGACTGGTGTGCGCCTCTGAGCGCACTCGATTTAAAAAAAACCCAAACAAACAGCAAAAACCCCCCAGAATTCCCAAAGTCTGCTGCCCCAGGAAATTCATTTATATGAAATTAAACTGGATTTAATTTACCTCGTTACACTATTAAAGAGTAATATTTATATCACCATGGAAACCTCTGCATAAAACTGGTAGTGAGACCCACGCTTCCAGTGCTGGTTACGCAATGGCCGTGTCATGTGAACGATCGCGTCTTACAGCGGCTCAGGAGCGTGCCAGCCCTCTGATGTCCAGTGGGACACTGTTTTCCTCCTCAGCCCGACAAGAGCAGCCTTCCTCGTCCCATCCCAGCTCAGCACCGCCCGGCTTCCCTCCAAGGAGGAAGAAGCTAGCAAGGGGGATTTGGCTCGTGTTTTCAGGGTTATTTTTCCACCATTTGACTCGGGATACGTGCCCCTCCCCACCACTCTGGAACTGTTTAACTTGGAAGGACAAAGGAGAATGGGCAAAGTCCACTGAATGTGTCTTGAGGGGGAATGTTTTGGGAAAACAGCTGGGGAGGTGGTGGTATCAGGGGGTGGGAATGCAGAGAAGTGGCTCTGGGTGAGAACGGGGAGGAGCGGCAGAGCAGAGCTGGGGGCAGTGGAGGAACCACCGCGGCTGCTTAGAGTTGCCGAACTTGTCTCGGGCCCCTGGGCAGGATCGGCGGCTCCCAGCAGTCACGAGCTCCCTCCGCTCCTTCTCTTGGCACTGCTTATCCCATCCACCTCTCACCGCAGGCCCACGTGTGCTCGCTCTTCCCTGCCTCCTGTCCCTACCGAACACATCCTCTGCCCTCCCTCGCAACTGCCAAGAGGGGAGGTTCTAAAAAATAATAATAATACTAATACAAAAATTAAAATCTACTGTGCCTTCATCCTGCAACACTACCTAATCCACGGCATTCAGGTAGTAAGTGGAACTGTAGAAAAATGAGTGAGCCCTCATGATCCTTCACTGTTCAGTAAAATACATCCTGATGCCAGGATTTTCTTTTTACAACATCAGAGCATTGTCTTCTATGAAGTCTTTTAAAAGTAGCTCTACGCTGGTTGTAAAAGGAAGCACCCTGCCACTCCCATCTGAGAGGAGATGAATCACTTGAAACAGACGGATTTCATCTTAATTCCCTCTCCATGACTTCAACTATGGAAAGAAAATAGACTTAAATGCCAGGGAAGTGCTTATCTGCGTTACTTGGTATATTAACTGTTGAATGGAGATGCTCTGCAGGTACTGATAGCAAGAGATTACAATACTGCATTTTACTATGTGAGTAAGATACTCCTTCCTCTTAGTAGCTGGTTATCTGAAATGCCTTTAGAGCAGAATTTAGAGCAGAGTAAAAGTCTTGCTTTGCTCACAACATCAGGAAAATACACACTAGAGGAGGATTTTTCTAACATGGTTTTGCAGTTCCTCCCCCGCCCCCCCAACAGGCCATAAAAGATAATTTAAGAGGTTGCTGGTAGCTTCATTACTCCTTAAAGCACAGAAGACCTTGATCATCTATGTCCTGTGTGTACCGAGCTCTGATGGATATATACACTTGGCAAAATCTAAAAATACAAGCAGATTATAAAGACTTGCTATCACCAATATCTTTATTGTACTTACTTTTGCAGAAGGCGTTAGACATTGTAAGTTACTTATCCTGCACGAAGGAGAAGACCCTTCTAAAACAGACTTAAGGGCTTTTGAAGAAACGGGCACAAAGGATACAGGACAGGAGACAAACTGCTCACCTGAATTCATTAAGGGCATCAACAATCCTGTTATATGCCAAACTCCGCTGACTGGCATCAGCTGATCTACGACTCATTTTCATAGCCTTGAAAACAATCATTAAACAGATAAGTAACACATAGCTACAGAAGCATAGAAAATGGAAAACAAAGTCATGTGTTTGACTTTATCTTTCATGCAACTAGTCATGCAAATAATTTTTTTTTTTAAGTGATAAACCAATGGTACAAGTGCCAACTTTCATATCTGAGGAAAGATAGGTGAGGCACATACATTTGCAGCCTCTGCTTCTTCTGTGCTTTTCATCATTCAAGGCATAAAAGGGGTCAAAGTTTTCATTGCAGTGGCAAAGTAACCACTAAGTATTTCCTAGAGGAGAGGTTTGAAGCAAATCGAACCACATATTTGAAACTTCAATCTTTGAAAATTTCCCACATATCAGAATCAGGGGGTTAAAAAAAAAAAAAAAGAGAAAGAAAAAAAGCTCGATAATTATTTGCAGCTGGGAATAGCCTAGAGAGAGGTTCTGACCCTGTGATCCACTGGACTCAGATACAGCTGAAGCAGGGAGGCAGAGGTGGCCTTAAAAGCACCTTTCCCCCTTGGCTGCTCCAGGGCTTGCTGGGAGCTTACACAGCCTCCTAGCTGTTCCAGCTTCCAGCAATCCCTGCAGCGTCATGCAGCATGCTCTGTCCTCGCCCTGTCTTGGGCTTTTGCTAGCAATGAGAAACATCATCAAAGATGCTGTGGAGCAAAGCTCTTCTCTGGTGCAATTCCAATACCCGACAGCAAGCTGATCCCACTTTTGTAAACTAGTAACAAGAGCTGGGAATTAAACCTGACAGGGCTAGGGGGAACATAGAGCAATACAAGTGCAAGAATCAAAAGAGACTGTGTTTACCTGCTCTATTGCACTCTTCAGTTTGTTCATGTGACTCTCAAAAAGAGGAAAGTGCGAGAAGAAGAACTCATTAAATTTGTTGTTTTCATCTTCATCTCTTGAGAGCGAAAAAATAACGCCAATTGCTATCTTTTTCTTCCTAACAATTCCTGGACTAGGACCAGAGCTGTCATCTGACAAGTTAAAGCTTTCATCCATGGACCTTGAAGCATGAAAAAAATAGGAGGTTAATGCAATCCACTGCTTAAAGTTGTACCTTGGTTTCCTGTCTAATTCAATTCTTGAACATTTAACTTCAGTAAACACCTTTTGTTTGCATGTGTTGTCAAATCATCACCTTTGATAACATTCACTTTGCATGTAAAATCAATTTTAAAAATTGATTTTTTACAAGCAACCATTAATTGATCCTGCAATCACAAGAGCTGGAACCAGATTCAAAGTGTTTGTGGGATCAGAATATGGTATTCTAGTTCTCTCCCATCCCTGCCAAGAATTTGTGTTTTGAGTAGGATTTTAGGGCTGCTTATCCTCAAAAGCACAGCCTACAGGTTTACATTTTGCTGAAGGCTTCCTAGTCAGTGCAGAACAACAAATGCCACAAAGAAAACAGACACTAAAAAGGATCAGGCGTTGAAGTGCAGCCTGACTTACACCTCTGTAAATACCCCACAGAAAGCAACAGCAAGAGCAGATGTACATATGCAAGAGCAGAATCGAGCTGACAATGGTGGAAAATTTATGGGCAGCAACCAGCATTTTCATTCCCAGCTCACCATCGAGGGAAGACCCCATTCTCCAAGCTGGTAGTCTGACTGCGACGCCAACGCCGCTGGTAACTGCTAGCACAGCTTTTGTTAAACGAAGAGCCCGGAGATGGAAACGGAGTGATGAGCAGACTGCTAAGAGATGCTGCAATAAGAAGAGGAATAAATAAAAATCTCTCCGGAAGAAAGAGCATTTGGAAAATAATACCAGCAACTAAACAAAGGCCCTCAAGATAAACCAGTGTTGCTTCTCAAGTGCCTTCTCTTTTGCTTATCGATGTTTCTTATCTAAAAATAACCAGTTTATAGTAACATTAACAAGATATACAAGCACTACAAGGGTGGGACTGTCCTGCAGCTTTACATAGTAGGCAACACACAGGCTGCACCTTGCTCATCAGCCCTGAGTATCGGGAAATAAATTCTCTGTGGAAAGGGGTAACGTTAATCACATCCTTTCACAGCCTTTCCAAACCTAACCTTAAGTGCCCAATATCCTGAATCTGGGGGGAGGAGAGGGGTGTTGTGGAGCAGAATTCATGTTTTAACATTACCAACCTCCTCAATTTGGAAAGGAGATGACAAGTATTGTTTAGAAATGCTGCAAACTCATTTCAATATTTAATTTGGCTTGCTTATTTGCAGCATGCTTTAATAAATCGCACTGCTGTTCAGATTACCTCTGTGAGGTTCCTAATGCAATACCCTTGATGTCCACAATATTTGTATGTATACATATAGGTATGCATTAATGCTTATATGTAACAAAACAGAACAATCACATTTCAGCACAGGAAAAAACTACATGGTGATGTCTAGGCATCTCAGTGACGAACATTACTGAATATTTTTGGAGTCTACAGGGTTAACACATGGAACTGACATTACCAGATCTTGCTATACCGCTGTCTCTGTCCTCATTCTGCTCCCTCCCAGGCATATCCATAGGGTTGCTATGAACTGTAAAACAAGGAATACCAATTAGCAGGGGAATATACAGTTCCTTTCTTGTTTGCAGATCTCCATGTAATTAATGAAACAAAAACATGCTCATTAATTCAGATCAACAGCACTGTGCAAGGCCATCACCAAGAAAGGCTGCTTAGCTGAACAAGCCAAAACACTTATCTGAAGAGCTCGTATATATTTTTCTGAAGTCCATACACCTATTTTAGTACAAGCTAAAACTAGTACACTTTGTTTCTTTATACGGAGATTTTTCAATGAAATTTTAACGTACCAAAAGTATGTTGGTCACATTGGTAGTACTCAATGTATAGACAAAAAAACCCATCAGAAAGCAATATAAACATAACTTCATTCATATACCAGCTTTCTCGGGTATTATATATATAATTTTAAGAGGATTTTACAACGCTATCTTGAAGAAAATAAATACTTTGGAATTGCGAGCAGTGCACTGGTTGTTCAACTAAGCTGTAAGCTGTCCAGATTCACAGACTGCATATACACAAGATCAAAAGTGTCTCAGGCTCAACAGTCTTTAAATGTGATATATTTTACAAATATGCGTGTGAAATAAAAGCTACTCAGCCATGGAAATAAGACCCAGCCACTAAAAGCACGAAATGGCCATTTTAAATGAACCTAGGTTAGCTTTAGTTTTTACAGTTTGGTTGAAACAAGTCCAGATCGAAATAGGTTGACGCTATTGTGAAACAGTATTTCCAGAAATACGAAATCTACCATTAAATATGTAAGTTTCCAAAACAACACAACCAACCAACCCCAAAGAGGACTATTAGAATGCCCGCGGTCCTCTGGGGTTTTAAAGCATGTATCCTAAAAGGTAAGAGAGCAGACATCACTGTCTGTTTCGTATTTAAAAAAAAAAAAAAGAATAAAAATCTTATTTCCAGGGCTAAACTACAAATCCCCAGAGTTTTGTCACACCAGCTAGACTAGCCACACAGCACAGCACACAGCACACTGCAAACCTGCAAAGAAAGAGGCGCTCCGGATCAGGCGGAGCGGACCTTGCTCTGAGAATGCCCGCCTAGGGCTGCAAAGCTGTGAAAGACCTACATGGCAAAACGTAAAATACACATGAAAGAATGAGGTTAGTAAAGCAGAACAGTCTGTAGGGAGGGGGCCAGGGCAGGGAGAAGATACAAGCCAACATAAATGCAGACTAACAGTACGCAGGAGAACAGCTCTTACGCTTAACAAGAACGTTGATTCAAGGATACGGCTTAGAGTTGAACTATACAGTATTTATAAAATTAAAATAATAGACTCAGCTTTACACTGTCTCCCATACAAGGATGGGGTTTCTCTCCAAGGGCCTTTTTAAAATTTTTTTTTTTAAATTGAAAAATGATTAATTTATGCAGGCTCAAAGCCTAACTTGATCACAAACGGGAGATTCATCATGGAGTACAATGTTTGTTTTAACATCCACACTGGTGGGGTGGCCAAGGAACACTGTTGCTGAAGGCAACGGGGAGGGGGGGGGAGAAGGCAGGCATAAAATTCATCTTAGTAGAACCAACAGAAAATTATAGGCTGAAGTAGTTGTTCTGAGAACGGTCAGTACATCAGTTTAGCGAAATGATCATACAGAAAATAAATGTTAGCAGTCTCAGTAGTCCATTTTAAAAGTAATACTGGGTTGTAGAGATACCAGGGAAAGACCTAGGAAAAAATGCATGGGTATTTTTAATGAGTTAATTGCCAGTTCCTCTCCTAAATTTGAAGCTACTGCTCACTTAAAGTTTTCTGATTATACAAAGCACGAAGGCTGCACCTCAGCAAAGCTCCCTTCCATTCTCTTAGGTCTTTCCTTAGAATCATGGAATCAATTTAGGTTGGAAAAGCCCTTTAAGATCATCAAGCCCCACCGTTATCCTAACCCTGCCATCCCACCACTAAACCCTGGCCCTAAGCACCTCGTCTGCCCGGCTTTTAAATCCCTCCAGGGATGGGGACTTGACCACCTCCCTGGGCAGCCCCTTCCAGCGCTTGACAACCTTTTCAGTGAAAAAATTTTTCCTAATGTCCAACCTAAACCTGCCCTGGCGCAGCTTCAGACCACTGCCCCTCATCCCATCGCCCATTACCAGGGAGCAGAGGCCGACCCCCACCTCGCTACAGCCTCCTGCCAGGCAGTTTTAGGGGGCGATCAGGGCTCCCCTCAGCCTCCTCTTCTCCAGACTACACAACCCCAGTTCCCTCAGCCGCTCCTTGTATTAAAGGAAATCCTTATATAAAGGAAAGGACATCACCAGTGCTGCTTTTTTTTTTTTTTTTTTTTTTTAACCAGTAGATCTAAAAAAAGCAGCTTGTAAACAGTTCCCAACCAAAACACATAGACCCTTCTCCTATCACAGGCTGGCGAGTGACTCAGAGCAGTCTCTGCCATTGAACACAGTTGTCAGAAGTGCTGCAGTTACCGATTAACTTCTTTACCGACTTTACCCGTGGTTCCCTCTGCGCTGAAACGGGAACTGTAAACAAACGCTGCCGAACCGACTCAAAACTCGTGCAGCTCAACTACAAAGAGAGTTTCAGCATCCTCTTCTAGAAGGCAATCTCATCACTTGTTGCACGCCCTTGGGGCCAGGAGCCTCCCCCTCCGGGCCAGCTCTCGGGGCAGTTACGCTTTCCGCTGGGTGGGGAAGAGCCACCCCTCTCTACGGAGCCAGACACAGATGAACTCATGGCACTGGCTACACCTACATCGTACTGACTCCACACCTGATAGTTGCATTACCTGAATCATAGAATCATAGGATCATAGAATGGTTTGGGTGGGAAGGGACCCCTAGAGCCCTCCCAGCCCAACCCCCCTGCAGGAGTAGGGACACCTTGAACCACATCAGGTTGCTCACAGCCCCGTCCAACCTGGCCTGGAATGGTCCCAGGGATGGGGCCTCCACCACCTCTCTGGGCAACCTGTTCCGTTTGAGCTTGCAGTTTAGATCACAGTGGTGATACAGCAAACTTTGCCAAGCACAAACCACAACAAAACCCTAAAAGTAGGTGAAGTGAGTTCCTCTTTCTTAGATCAGGCACCTCGTTCACTCATCCACTGTGAAAAATCACATTTGAAGTCTGAAAGGAATAGTGAGTATTAAGAAAGAAAGCATCTTTTTAACTTTCCTGACTTAGTAAATTCAGGAAGCATTTAATAGATGATAGGTTCTTATGGCATTAATTGGCTTCCCTTATAAATGGACTATTGGGAATGATTTTAATGAGGTATACAGCTTTTGAGCCTGAAAAGCATTTAAGCCCATGCTTAGGTGTCACCTTATCAAAGTCAGTGTGAAGAAGTAAACACACCCTACAAGAATTAGGGCCATGTCAAAGCCAGAAACCCAGTTACAGTAACAAAGTCATCAAATTCACTCCTTCCTTCCAACCCTAAAAAAGTGTATTTTTCATATAACAATATTCTGGAAAGCAAACATAAAAAGAAGCCCCTTATTCCACCCACTACAACAGACATTTGCTTGGAAAGTCAACGATCTAAACCAAGGGAAAGGGAGGATGTGCTGAAGAGCTCATCAGGCTGCTATACAGGACAGCCAAGCCCTAAAGTACAGTATCTTTACTATCAGCTCTACCGTTCCCATGGGGAAAAAACTTCCCCTCTTTCTGTAATCTAACGTCCACGGCACCTTCACCCACAGCACTTCCACGAAGGCTGAGAACCAAAGATGCCAGATGGTTTTTCAAGACTGCTTAGCTTCCACCATCAGACAGAAAGAGGAGAGAACAAAAAGAGATTCTGTCTAATCTGATCAAGAACTCCAGCGAGATTAACTTAAGACTAGTATGAAACACATGGCCACATGCACTCAGGTGGCCAGAGTACAGAACAGAATGAGAATTATTAACGAAAATAAAACTGGGGGATTGAGCTGGGCAGAATCAGTCATGCCTGATACGAGATATGCTGCTTAGAAAGTTCTACAGACCGTTATTTTCCACTGTTTTCTGTATTTGAACTTAAGTATACCTAAATATTCCTATTATGTATTTTATATACACATACAGAGCTATATATACTGAACCACTGCTAATTCCTTGCCCTGTCTGATTTATTCTCCTCCAAACCTCACCGACATTAATTTTCTGTTACGTCTTTAACCATCTTCTTTTTTTTTTTTTTTAAATTTGATTCTATTTAGAAGACTTCCATATTCTAGAATCTGCGATTACTCAGTTAAAGATAACAGGAAATAAAATCTGCTTGTAATTACCTATATTCCCAAGAAGTCCATTCATAATTGTACTGTGGTCAGGCTTTAACGTATTGCTGTCTTGATTAATGAACTCAAGGCTGTCCTGCAACCTGTAACAAACATAAAACATAAAAAATACCCAGTGATTTGCATTTCAGCGGAATATTGTGTTACTGCATTATAGCACGAATGGAACAGACAAGATAAGAATGCAGACTTCCACTAGAAAAAGCTTTCATAGCCTAAGCCACATTCTTAGGTGGGTCAATTAATACACAGAAAACTAAACATTGAACCCTCTGAAGCCAGATGTTTTTGTAACACCTTTTTCTTCATCTTGGACCGAATTCCCCAACTCCAGTGTTCTGTCCTCATCCCTTCTCCTTTGGCGGTTGCAGGTACTTTTGTACCTTACGATGTCAAGCTTCACCATACCAGCATTAAAGGAATGGTTCATTCATTCACTTAAAGCAAACTGAGGCGAAGACAACCACAAGGGAAAGGTGAGGACACGAGTGACAGGATGTAACAGATCAGGGAACAAGAAGTTATTCTTCTAGAGAAAGAATCTGGAGGGTCCCAAAAGAGTGTCCTGTGTTCTTACATTCATCTGCTTACGTGCAATAGATATGGTTTGTAATGGACTCACGTATTCAGACTTCCGTAGATGCTGCTTCCAGTGCGAGCTGTGAAAACCTTGCTGAGCATGAGCTGAGGAGGTGAGCTAGAGGACAAAAAGGAAGATGTCAGTCAGAAACTCAGTGCCAAGACAGGCTTTGGTTCCATTCCATAACCCTCCAGATTTTATAGACGTAAACATGACATAACAGCCTTTTGTGTCAACAGTGGCATCAGCATAAGCTTAAAGCAAACCGAGAAATTCCTTTTACCCTGCACTCGTGGCATTCAGTTTACTATACATTGGCACTAAGGAGTAAGCCTTCTAAAAAGACCAGCAGTAAAAAATGAATCTTACCGGATCTGGTGAATTTTCAATGTGGAGCCCTTGTAGCTCATGGCCACAGAGCCAAACATCATCTCCCCAAGCATGTTAGCATCTGAGGAGCACCGAGAACCCTGCAAAAAAACCCCATCAATGTTTGGTTTTAAGCATTTTAGAAGCACACTTCTATTAAGGCAACATATGACTAAGGAAAATATTCTTTATTTAAAAGACAAACATGCAAAATATCTTGCTGTAACACTGCTGAAGACACTAAGTTGAACAGTTTGATAAAGATAGTGCTGGCACAGAAAGTGATGTTGAAGTCACTGAAGAAAGTCACGTTGGCTGTGAGCTAAACCACTAAAATCATCCCACAAACCTAACCCATCTACCGGGGGTGAGGGGAAGCAGATTCAAACTGCACCATGTCAGGGGATTAAAAGTTTTAAAGAGTGTGATAACACACTTTCCTGAATAAGAACCATTAAGCCTAAACCTTGTGTCTGCTGGACAAGAAGAATCACAAGTTCAGTGGAAATCTTATACAGCTGTGCGTTGGAGCCAAGCTGGAGCAGCGCTTTCTCGACAAAGACCGATTCATAACTTATCCGTGGATGCTATGTTGTATTTGATGCACCATTCCCTGGTGCCCCCCGTGATGGTACCAGCACAGAGCCGTAGCATCACGGTGCCAGGCTTAAGTTGTGCAATTCCTGCTTCTGGGTTGGGGAGCGCTTGCTGTAAGGCATACTGGCTAAAGACGAGGGAGGAGCGCCACGATGCCGCATCACCGGCTAGATCAAATACTGCAAACGAAAACCTAAAATTAAAAAGCTACCCAGGGCAATCAACTGGAGACGACTGCTCAGCTGACAGTCATCTTATTTGTGTACTTTCAATGACTGAGATTACTGTCCCTTTATCCAGGGCTGCTTCATCTCTAGGCTGAGAGAATATTAGTGCTGGCTCTCCGTTGCAGAGCATTGCTCTGAATAATTTAAAGTATCGTGATCACTCACTCACCGAGCTCAGGCAGTTCCTAACTGAGGTACTTTGGTACTGTGCAAGACAGCAATGCATTTCCTTTGAGGTGTATGAGAACTAGTAACACTTCCTTGGAGTAATCCTTCCAAAAGGTCCCTCAAAACAGCCACAGAAATAACCATGTGCTTGGAAAATGCTAAGTGCCATATCTCCATATACCTTCTCCAAGCTCTGAACAACCAGGATCCTCACCCAGATTCCTACACAGGCGTGGAATACATCTAAATATTTTGCCCAGCATCAGACAGTGAGCTCGGAGCACAATCAAGGACAGGGTGCCCACGCCACGGATTCCTACCAGCAGTAAGGAGCGGTACAGAAATGACCACTCAATGTTTCTGCTCACGCTAGCCTGCAGAGCAAGGGCAGGACAAGGGAATGCTAATCAGCCAAAAAACAACACACTTAAAACACTTTCCAATTTTTAGCTCTTCTCAAGCACTCTCAATTAAGATGATGGTACTTTAACAGACATACTATTAACCTCTGAAATCTGCTATCAGTGCAAGAGATAGGGGATGACTAGAAGTAGCAACCACAGTTATAAAAATGAGGATACAACTGCAAGGTTTGTTAGCGTTCGTATGACAGGGTAAAACCTGATAGTTAGCTGGGTCTCAGGGAAATGTCCACCTTTACCTCCCAGGATATCATACTGCTGAGGTGCACTGTAGGCAGTACTGGAAAAACTGGACTTCCAAATCAGTCAGTATGAGCCAGCAGCTCCAAGGAAACAGAAGCAGAGACGTTAATGGCTCTAGGAAATGATAGGGTCTTGCCAGCATCATGCAATCTTGAAGTAGGAACACTGCAAATTACTCCAGCCAAATGTTATGATTGTGATTTTAAAAGTCTGTTGCAGATCTCCAGTTGAAGGATTCATTCTGAATAAATGTCAAGCCCTTGATGGTTGGTTTTGGTTTCAACTTTCTGCTGTTGTGAAAATCTAATTCTAAAGCTGAGGAAAAATCCTGTAAGATAAAGTATTGATTTTCTTTGTCAAGCAACGGAATTAAAAAAAGCAAGTGAAAACCAGCTGCTTTCAAATGTAATTATAGGGGTTTCCCTTTCCTCTGAAAGACAGAGACAAGCAATGCTGAAGGCAAAGACCATGATAAGGTGCACCCATGGCCTGTTTCAGTCTGGCATTTCATCTACGTTTAATAACAATCATTTTACCACACGTAACAGAAGATGCACATATTTAATCCATTTAATACAGAAACACTGCTACAGCTCAACTCTTTGGCCCTTTAATGCTGCAAAATAAAGGTCACTCAAGACCAAAGTAAAGTGCAATCAACTGAGGAAAGGGGTTAAATATTAAAAACTCAAACAAAAAATAGCCAAGGAGCATCTGGCCAAAAGGGCACAACCTCCGGCACTGACAGCTTGGACACAAACCAATTCCCTAGGTCATATTTACGATCTCTCATAAAAATTTATCATAAAATACCCACGAGTGTTTGTTATTACACATTAGCATATTAGAGGTAGTAAAATTGGCGTGTTTTGGAAATTACATTTCTGAATATATCTACAGCATTTAATATTCCACTTACTGTACATACTGTCCTATCAACAACTAAGTACACGTGTAAATTAAGACTGCAGTAGAGAAGCAAACGTCAAATGCCGCAATCAACACATCAGACACTGTCAGTGCGCAGTGTCGTAACGCGCAAATCATTGTGGGCAAGCTTCGAACCATATTCAGCTTCACCTTAATGGATTCTAATCACATTTGTGAGGGCTCTGGACAGGATGTAATTAAGAGTATGGAAGCCTGGAACAAACCCCTGTATTTCCCCTTGCAATTGAAGTTGCTCATATATAGTCAAAGTGTATTTAAACAAGGAAACATAAAGAACTATTTTAAAAGTCCTATAGCATGGTATTTGGACTTCCATTTCACAGCTTTAAGAAAAAAAAAAACAAAGAAAAGAACTTAAAAATCCTGCAAATACATTCAGTAACTGCTGAGGTTACCAGACACAGCAGTGAGAAGATAGGAAATGCCAGGCTGGCTGATGTCTGGACAAACTTACTCTGGCCCTTCGGCACACATGATACAAAATTTTATTGTGCAGTAAAGAACTCCTGTATTTATGGCGCTCTGCACTTGCTGGGGAAGCCTGGAAGGAGTACAGGGAACACAGCAGACAGTTTACAACAAATATGCCGTGGAAGACCAAGCGAAGCTGAAAGTTTCTCGCACACTTTCTGAGCTGGTTACATAGCCACACGTCATTTCAGTGCAGCTCAGTGAGATTTTGACTAAGTGACACGCATGGGGAAATGGGGACTTCAAAGGGAAAACTTTCCACAGCTTTCAAATACACTGTCATACCAACCGCTAAAATTAATTTCCTTTAATAACGTTGACCACTGTTTGCACAGAGCCTCCCCAGGAGGAGAGACAATTTCTGGATAGTGGGGGGCATGATTTTTCTTGGTCACACAACGCACGAAGGAGGTTATTTTGTGCTGGAAGGAAGCCGCTGACAGAAACGTCCCTTCCTTTCATAACCGCAGCTAAATGCCCTTCCAGGAAGGGAGGAATGGAAAACAGATCTTCAGCCACCTTACTAAAGCTGTGGAAAAGAGTGTGATGGCAAAGCGAAAACAAGAATACGCAGCTCGCCAAATATAGCAAGAGCTAACACGGCAGTGGGAAAGCCAGCACCGAAAGGTTCTTCATTTCTATCTACAGTAGATTAAGACATCAGTAGTACTGTACTTCAGAGCAGGTTGTGGAGATAGCAGCTTCAGTCAAACACACAATTACTTCATTACAAAGAGTGGAAGGGCTTAGTTCTATTTTAGGGTGGCTTAATATAAAACACTTGTGATCCATGGAAGGAGAGATGACAGAAATACATCCATGTCAGATGACTCTAGCTACTCCCATGGCCAAAACCTCTTATGCAAAATGTACTGAATCCCTTGTTACAAAGCTGTTGCACAGACTATCCCTACAGACAGCGCGCTTCTCTGTTATTGCCCTGGCATTTAACAATAAAGTAAAATAAACTACCTCATCTATACCAAGATAAGATATTTGTGACAAGCCTGTTTGTACCCAAACAAGTGTTCTCACCCGGGTCATGAAAGAGAACAAATGCCCTGGAGAAACTTGCTGCCATTCAAGACACATCTTGAGAGAACCAGCTGGTTGGTTTTAGACTTGTTCACACCCAAAGCTACAGAATTAAACATCACTGAGTCAGAACCAAAGTCTGATTTTGACTGAAAACTGCTCTCCACCGCCAGCCTCTAATGTCAAGCATTTCAAAACATTCCGTAGCTCACCTGCTGTTAGCATTTGACATGGGTTATGCAAAAAAAAATTAAAAAAAAAAAAAAAAAGGGACCCCCCCGGGTTTTTGGGGA